TCCCACAAGAGTGACCCACAAGAGTGTCCCACAAGAGTGTCCCAGATAGAGTGTCCCACAAGAGTGTCCAGCAACCGTGTCCCACAAGAGTGTCTCACAAGAGTGTCCCGCAACAGTGTCCCACAAGAGTGTCCCACAAGGAGTGTCCTACAAGAGTGTCCCGCAAGAGTGTCCCACAAGAGTGTCCTGCAAGTGACCCACAAGAGTTTCCTACAAGAGTGTCATTTAGACATATGTAGCCTTTGGAACGTGTTTGCATTCGGGTTCGTGGGCTCCATCTTGTTTTCTCCTTCATGTTCTATTCTGTACCTTGTTGCCCTTGGACGAAAGCGACCTGTAGCGGCCTTTCATGCTACCTGCACTTTGGACCAATCAGAAAGAGCCTCGCTTTACCAGGAAACCGAATCACCCACTCCAGTCTAGGACACTAGGAATTGCAACTCTCTAGCGAGACCGCTATTCCAAGAAAAGGATGAAGTTCACAGCTTTCCCTACTAGACATTTGGCCTGCCATCGCGCTATCCGGGCCATCCAGCAACAACCGAAAGCCTTTCAAGAATGTTGCAGTTCAGCGGTCCCATGCTGGAGCCCGTCGCTACTCGGTTGGAAGGCCACTGCTACAGCCGCAGCCGCAGCCTTCGGTCGAGTAGAACAGGCCGAGCTCTTGTTGACCCGTGACCTGGGCAGCGAGTGCATCAACATCGGCGCGGCTCGGACGCGGACGATGCGGAGAACACGGTGGGACGAGGATGTTAGACTCATGACGCATGGCATCTCATGGGTTCATGGGCTCATAGGAGCGTCGCTACAAACGGAACAAAGGGCATCGCTACTAGTAGCTCCTGGCCTTACTACTAGGAACAAGAAGCTAGTAGAAACAAGAAGCTACTAGGAACAAGTGCATCGCTTCTAGTAACAAGTGCCTTACTAGTAGTAACAAGAAGCTAGTAGAAACAATAAGTACATAGCTCATTTTGGGAGGTGGATGTTCACCAACTGGGCCCCCCCCGTTCATCGAACCACGTTAAATGGTTCGAGCGGCTTCAGTGAGGGAACCATGCAGGGCCAGTCGGGTTGAGGTCGACTCCCACAGATTTGGAGAAACCGGCCCCTGCGAGATGACTGCATGGCTGTCAACCATGGTTCCCAATCGGCACGGGGGAGCTGTTTGAATCTTCCATCGAGTCTTTTTTCAATCCGCCTCCATCAACCGTGTCGACAGTCGGATCAGCAGTGCTTCAACACCTTGACGGCCAGTAAACTGAGCCGTCACCTGCTGCTGCCGCGGCCATGGTGCATGGGCTCAGGTGGTCTTCATGAAGTCCCACCCGGCAAATGCCAAGTTCCTCCAGGACACGGATCTGTATCGGGGATCTGTGAAGCTTGGCGGTGGTGTCGTTGGGTCATTGGTAGCTCGTAGAGCCATTCAGCTTCAAGAACCATGCAAACCCGTCAAACCGTTTGGGAGGAGAGGACCGACACAAATTGGATCTTTTTGGATTGGGGAACCCAACAGAGATGTTCCGGTAAAACAGATGGCAGCTCGATGATCCAGTTTTGAGGGGACGTGTGATGTCAGCGGCTTGAATGCAAACGGAGACTCGGCTTGACGAGCGCAGTCGAGCGGAGAAGCAAGTTAGAGGCTGTAGCATGGCTGTGGCGTGCTGTACGAGTGGAAAGGATTGGCCTTCATGACCTGCCCATGACTTGCAACGGGTCTATCTCTCCAATCTCTCCGCTAGATGTAACGATATAATAGCAAAAGAGTAAAAAAGGGAATCCAACATCCACCCTAGTAGCTTCTTGCTCCTAGTAGTAAGGCCAGGAGCCCGTTCATAGCGAACATTGCTCCGTTCGTAGCGATGCCAGGAGCCCCCTTTCATAGCATCCGATCGCTCCTAGTAGCATCGATGATCAATTCCAGCGGTGCATGTTGTGTTTTTCAGGCGCCAAGAGGTCAAGCCTTGGCTTTGGACACTCTTCGTTGGTCCAAGCGGCTTCGCTTTTCCGTCCGATCATTTGGCTTGTAGGATCTGATCATTTGGCTCTGGCATCACCCCTATGAGTTCTGTCAAAAGGCGTTCCTCGGCAAGTGGAGAGGGAAAGGAAGGCTGTGAAGAGCGAAGGGACCAAGTGAAGACTCGCTTTAGTCAGTTGCAACTCCAAACGTTCAGGACATGGTTAGAAACAATAAGCTACTAGGAACAAGTGCATCGCTACTAGGAGCAAGGGCCTTACTAGTAGTAACAGAAGCTATTAGAAACAAGAATTAAGAAATTAGGTATTTTCCTCCAAGCTCAGACCAATCAACGAGACCTTTGAGTTCCTCCTTTGGGAGGCCTAGCCCATCAACCAGCACCTGGCTTGGACATCCACACGGTGTCAAACACCTTTCAGGCATTTCGTGATATGGAGGTCAAAAACAACAAGGGGTGCCCACCACCAGCGGGCTTTCATCGACTGTCTCCTCCGTGTTGGTGTATTTTGTAGGGACAGGTAAGAAAGTCATGTTGGCCTTGACGTAGATGAGTACCCCTTGCTGCAATCTCTCAGGAGGCACTCTTCACTTCCAAGTGAAGGCGCCTCCATCGGTCTGAGTCTTTTCCCCAAAAAGACAACCAGCGAATCCGCCAGAAAGCCGATCCCAGGTTCGCGGGGCTAATGGGTTTGGAGGACTGAGCTTGCCCAACCCTTCGGTCGAAGGGAGAAACCTTCGGCACTTGCCGAAAGAATGAAGACGGCCTTTGATTGGTCCTCCAACCAGGACCTCCAATGGAATAGCCTCTACGGCAACACTGTGGAGGCCTTACCACGTTGGGGGTTCTTGGACTCCTTGAACGCCTTTGTCACCAGCCTCTTGGGGGCAAGCAGGTGGTCAGGCGGTAAAGGTGCACGCTATGCTCAGCTCTTCGGTTGTTTTCCTGATAGATTGGAGTTTCTCCTTAGGTTCTTGAACTTGATGCTTTTCGTGTCCAGTTACTTGTCGCTTTTCGGATTGACATTCTTCAGCTATCCTTCCTTTGGTACCTATACGTTGAAACGCAAGAGGTTTCTCAAACGAATTGACAGCTAGTATTCCAGCCTCTTGGATTACGCCTGTTGGTACACAGTGGGCTGCATTTGTGCTTGTGACTAGGCATGGATATCTGAGGTTCTATCTATGGCGAAGCCACTGGATGGACAGGCGCAAGAGTAGTGGACTGGTTCCGAGTGTGCAGTTAAAGGTTCTCAGATACGATTCCCGCAACCAGAGTCAAGAGACAATCAACTTCAGTGTTGAAACTTGTAGAATTTCACAGAAACTAGAGAAGAAGAATGTCTTTTCGTCGAAAAGACAAGAGGACCGGCCAAAGCAGGAGACGAGGACCGGATCGTCATCTATCACTACTTGGACGGCACCGGTGCGGTGGACCCTGCGATCGCCGTGCCTTCGGCTGACATCGTTGGACCTCCTCCATCCGCAGTGGACCGGTCTCGTTTGGGCCATGGAACCGCTTGAGCTTCTTCACCGCGCTCAAACAGCGTCTCCGTCTCCGTTCCGCGCTCCAAGGTGCGCGGCTACGTGAATTTGTCCGGGGGCCCCGAAAGGGATGAGAGCGGGAGGGCGTGGGATGAGAGCGGTGAGCGAAACCGGGCAAAGCGGAAGGACAAGGACGGAGGTCGCTGAGAGGGGTGGACTCACGTCACACGGGACCAGGCTTGAAAAGTCTGAAGGTGTGGAGGCCATCGCTAGTGGAGCGTGTTGGAGATGCTCCGCCCGTTTGCGTGTTCGCCAGAAACTGGAGCTGAAGGTCTGGATATGACAAATGATGACAAATGGCACAACCTGGAGCAGGTGTAGTTGTCGATGACTGGCACATCGTGACTCCAGCATCCGCACGACGCGAAATCTCCGCACGACGTGAGGTTCGATCTGTTCTATGCCAATGACAAGTTGAACCTCTCCGTTTGGGCAGCCCAGACAAACCTGGGGAGCGAGCCTGCGTGCAGAGGCGAGTAATTGACCCCACAAAGCCCTTGTGATTTGCACCTTGAGACGCACCAGAGGGATTTTGTTGACAAGTGCACTCAAGACATACTGCAGTAGAAGTCGAGGCCTTCCGTTTGACCCGTCGATGATGTTTCACAATAGAAAACAGTGACGGTTGTTTCAATTGCAAAGCGTGTTGTTTCTTCGTTGTGGAAGCCCGAGGACCCGGTCACACCGCTCTATTTGCAGGAGCCTCTCTTGAGGGAGCATGTATCAAGTCATGTGCTTCCGACGTTTCGGTAGCCATTACCTTTGATACCCTTTGCGTTGGGTACGTTCTCAGTTTCCAGAACAACCACGACTCATGCAAGCTTCTTAGACAACTGAGTAACCGAGTTTCACCAGTTACACCAGATGTTCGTTTTCATGAATTGCTGCACTACTTAGCTTTTAGAAAACAAAACCCGAGACTCAACATGACACTGTGACAAGCGTAGAAAACTATATGTAGAACGAACAGCCGCAGCACTTCTTTCGCCGGTGCAACCGCTAGGTGTGTACCCATGTGCCGTTCTCATCCGACGGGCAGGACGAGCAAGTGAAGTCCCAACTGGACTTCTCGCGCCACCCGGCGCCCATTAAGCTGCAGGTGGCGTCGTGGCATGTGCGTGTCGGATTGGTGGGGATCGGAGTTCACACCTCGTGTGACTTTAAGAAAAAGATACTTTAAGGAACAGCGCTGGCCTCCAACTTAATGGCTTTTTGCTCCTAGTAGTAAGGCCAGGAGCTACTAGTAGGGTGCTTGCTCCTAGTAGCGATGCCCTTTGCTCCGTTCGTAGCAAAGGAACCTAAATAGCGATGGCCTCCAGAAGTGTGGGGAGTCGGTCGTTGTTGAAGCCAGTGTGCAGAGGTTTTGGATTGTGTTTCATCAGATCGCTGTTCTTGATCCAACCTGAAAATCGACAAGTTAGGATAAATTCAGCAAGTTTCTTCTAAGTCCTCACAAACAGTGAGGTTGTCTTTAGGGCCTTGTTCACAGCTTCTGTCCTACGTGTCCATCGTTACTCCGACTAAGTCTCGGGGCTTTGGTTCCAAAGCGAAACGAACTCGGACGTGCCATCCCCGCACGCCAGCCTTGCAGCCACATTGAAGAGAGCGCCTACCCCTCCTGGAAGCAGCGCCAGCGAGCACAGCTTCGAGAGCGGAGAGAGCTTTGGCCAGTCCAGCTCTAAAAGTTTGACACACGCTCTGCAGGGGAGCGAGCGGTTCCGGAAGGGAAATGGCATTGGAACGTCATTTTTCTGGGCATCTCATGCGCGCTGGACTTGAATGTCAGTGACGTCAGTCGGATTTCTTCTCAATGCGACATACTCTGAGTCGTTAAGGGTACTTTCCATGTACAAACCGCTTTCTCACCATTTGCTGTGCTTCTTGGGGTGATGTTCAATGTTCAGTCAGAGTCAGATTGGGACTGGGAGATAAAGATGTATTGATACAAAACAAACACAAAGCCAAGGGGCTTGTGTTTTCCGGGTAGGCTGCCAAAAGTGAAGACTTAGATGTCCATGAAAAGAAGTTGGGTTCCCTTCACACACGGTCCCTTCTGCGAGTTGTTCTGCCTTCATTGACGTTTGAACCGCAAGAACCTTCGCTCGCGCGACCGCTCAAGCACCCTTCGTCCTTGGGACGCCCGTGAACGGGTCTCGTCGCCGCCTTGGCGCCTGGGCACAACGTGTGAGCCGCTTTGGGTGGGGCACGACCCGGGTCCGTTTGGAGAGAAGCTACAGGAAGCTTTTGTGGATGGAAGGGAAACTTTAACCAGTAAGGAGGGTATGACAGGGCTTGCAAGTGACCTCCACCAGCGTTTTGGGGCTCCCAAGTTATGTCATGGCATCATTGTCACTAGTTCAGCCCAACGCTTGAACTCGACATGAATGGCAGACCCTCACAAAGGAAAACGAAAGAAGAGCAAGTCCAATAACTAGTAGCTTCTTGTTACTAGTAGTAATTGGCCTCCAGCCTAATAGTGATGGCCTCCACCTAGTAGCTTCTAGTTACTAGAAAGCTTCAAAGACCTACTAGTAGCTCCTTGCTCCGAGTAGCGATGGCCTCCAACCTACTTGCGATGGCCTCCACCTAATAGCTTCCTTGCTACCAGTAGACTATGAACTCTTCATGTGTTGGGCTGATCTCCTCAACGTGCCGTTGCGGTCTTCGGTTCATCTCGTTTTCTCGCAGTCCCAGGTCGAGGGAAAGCTCTCTCGGACGCCATGTTTGGACAGCCGGAGAGCACAGTGTAAGTCGGAGAGTGCGTCTGTCGGAATCAGCTTGGTACTTGTCTATCTCCCCTTAGAGTTCAATGGTGCGAATTAGGAATTCGAGTTCTGATGTCGTGGAGTTTTGCGTGTCAAAAGCAGACCATTCCCTACATACTCCGGTAAATGGAAAGATTGGATCGGACTGGACAGGTAAGTACTTGTGCGCCAAAGTGGTGATTCCTCCAACCCATGAGCTTCTAATCATCACGTCTACCAACCACGCCTCCACCCAAGTCCAAATGTGTCAAGTCAATCATCACAAGTCCATGATGGGTGTCGTAGAGGATCGCAGAGGACATCCCACCGTTTCGACGTCTCTTCACGTCGATGCAGAAACACGTCGAAAGATTCTTCTTCCCAAGGCCTCGCCGAGAACAGCAGGCAACGAGTGAGCAGACGGGACAGCCAGAGGTCCAGTCTGAGGTACAGAGGTCTGTGAAGGGGTGCGGTACAGAGTTTCTTTTGGAGGCTAAAAGGCACAAAATCAACGTGGAGCTATGCCATGCCTTTAAAGGAAATTGACCTGCAGTGTCTAGAGGAGTGTTTGTTTGTGTGTGTGAGCCGGCATTTATTTACACAAACTACCGTCAATTCGGAGTGGTTCTAGCCCACTTCTAGATCAAGGAGCTGGTTCTGGGTGGCTCAAAGATACAGAGAGACTTGCTGCGTGGGCTTGGGTCAGACTCAAATTTGTCCAAAAACCCTAGGTAGGTGAACACGCCCGTGTAGACTATCCTTGTTGATACAATGTTCACCAGGCGTGTGCAGGGTCATGACCACGCACTGTGACTCTTGGCACATCATCTGAAGAGGTCCTTGACATGCCCACGCCTGTTGTGGGAGAGCAATGTGAATCGGCCAAACAAAAGACGTTTTATTCCAGAGGTCCTCGGTCATTTCCTTGTTCAGCAACCTCCCAACGTAATTTTAAGCATCAAGGGCAATTTGAGGGTTCTCTACTGTACTGCCCACCTAGTGAGGGGTATGTGTTCAATACCTGCGAGAAGAAAACCCATCGGAATTCCAATGCTCCATCAGAGTCTTCCGTCTTCCCATGCTCCATCGCCAGATTCAGCCTTTCGACCCGCCCTTTGGACTGCAATCGGCATTTCCTGGCTGCGTGGTCGGTGGGGAGAGGACGGAAGGTGCTGATGGGAAGAGGGCTTCGCTTCCAGAAGATGTCAGCATGCCAATACGAGAGAAAGTATCCAACAAACACAAGAAAGAAGCGAAAAAGAGTCTCAGAAGAATGCAAAAAGCAGACGAGACTTCCCCACAATTTCAAGCTTGGATTTCTCCGATATTCATGATTCGCCCTGCCTGGCATGCAATCTGAGTCTTACACACCTGCTACTAAATCTCCGCATCGAAGTGAGAAATGTTTGCTCCTAGTAACAAGTGCCACGCTAGTAGTAACAAGTGCCTTACTAGTAGTAACAAAAAGCTATTAGAATTAAACTAAATTAAGTTAAATTAATAGCTTCTTGTTACTAGTAGCAAACATTGCTCCTAGTAGTACGGCCAGGAGCCCCTAGTAGCGTCCTTGCTCCTAGTAGCGATGCCAGGAGCCCCTAATAGCTTCTTGTTCCTAGTAGCGAACATTGCTCCTAGTTCAAATGTCTTTGCACTTGCCACAAAAAGTGAAGCTTCAAGGCCGTAAATAAGCCTGACGACACCGTTTCTGGGAATCGCACGAGCTTTGAGAGGGAACATGTTCCGCGTCTTTGACAAAATCTCGTGGAACCTGAAAGCGCCTTGAACTGTTTGCCAGTGGTGATGTGAAAATCCCAGCTTTTCACAGGTGCATACTGTATACAAGCTTGTCCCTGCAATGAGGTTTGCAGACCAGATGATGCCTTTCGGTGGTCAAGGCGTCCGGGGACGAGCAGTAAGCTGCTGAAGGAGGATTCGAACGATGCAAACACCCTGAGGTAGCTGGTTTTAGGCTCCCCCAAATGCATATGTTTACTGCTTCGAGAATCCCAAACCAAACTACAAAACGATACCAGGAATTCGGTTTGGAAGGGTTTTCCCACTTGAGTACATGCGGAGTGAAAAGCTAGAGTGGATCGTCCTTTGAAAGAAAGACTGTGGAACAACCCCGCTGAACAGTGGACAGCAGGAGTTTGAAACTCCAAGACACCAAGGAGCAAGGACGCTACTAGGAGCAAGGACGCTACTAGTAGGTCCTGGCCTGTTACAAGGTGTCTCTTTCAGCCACTTTGCCCATCGTCAGGCGGTGGCTTTGGCGGTCTCTTTGGATCGATGTTCGGACAGATGAATCAGATGATGCAGGACGAATCTGAAATCGATTCGATGACTGTCTCGCCTATGACCCCACGCCGTCCAATTCCACGTTCTTTCAAAAGCCAGAAACTTTGGGTCATAGGCATCCCAAATCTTAAGACAACAAAGATAGTAATGAAGACAGCAGTTATTCTTTTCGGGTAGACGTCTTTATCTTGGGAATGGGATTCTAGCTCTTCGTGGTCACCTGAACAACCTCTGTGAAACAGAGGAATAGGTATAGTGTTCCTTGCGTCTCTTCTGCAAGGTTTGTTTGTGAACAGAAGACCAGAAGAGGAAGCGCATCACAAGGCCAATTTGAGCCATGAGCAAACACAAGACCTTCAATGACCACTGCAGTAAGGGCCCCTATCCATAGGTACAAGAATAGAAAGTAAAGATGGTGTTCCTCTACCACTTTGCATGTTCGCTTGTCCGGGGTAGCCAGTTCAAGCGAGGGCACCTTCGTCGGACGTTTCAGAACTCCCCCGTTCGATGGATGTACTTGAATCTGCCACTGGAGGACATGGATCAGATGATGATGAACCCACACAGGCGCGGCACTGATTTTGGGACGTTCAGAGGTTTCCAGGAAACCCATCTGCACGGGGCACTACCCGTGAAGCCGGCGGTGTGTGTCTTGCAACACCTGGTTGAAACAAGTTTCTTCATACGGCTTTGACCCTGAATGTCTCATGTGGCAAGATCTGCAGTTCCTTGCTGCACATGCTTTGGAGTCGCTCAACAGACCTGACATCGGACCGATGTCCTACACCCTTGACGCGCACCTTAATATGCCCGGAAGACGACCATCATGTTAGTCAAATGTCCTTCAAACTTTGTCGATGGAAACAGGGTTTGGGCATCCTCCGACTGGGGTTGATTTCGACACACTTGTTCAATTAGGAAGCTTGCAGATCGCCCGCAGATTCCGCAACGTGATTGCAGAAGAACCCCAAATCATAAGTCACTCATGTCCTCTTTTGATAGCGCTTCTTGCTCCTAGTACCGATGCCAGGAGCCCCTAGTAGCTTCTTGCTCCTAGAAGTAAGGCCACGAGCCCCTCGTAGCGTCCTTGTTATGCTGGGGCCAAACCCAAAGCACAAAGGAAGTGTTGACATTTGGGAACCTCTCGCTCACCCGAGGGGCGGCCCACAGATGTCTATGATGTCTGGCATGTCCGGCGCGGGAGGCGATTGGAAGATTGGTGCGAACGGCAATTCTTAGGAACAAGGGCATCACTGCTCCTGACATCGCTACTAGGAGCAAGGACGATACTAGGGGCTCCTGGCATCGCTACTACTAGGAGCAAGAAGCTACTAGGGGCTTGTGACCTTACTACTAGGAGCAAGGACGCTACTAGGGGCTCCCAGCATCGCTACTAGGAGCGGAGCAAGAAGCTATTAGAAACAAGAATTCATGGAATTTAATTAGAATTGAAACAAGAAGCTCCTAGGACCTCTTCGCGCGCGCTTGCGCGGGGTAGGAGCAAGAGACGCTACTAGGGTCAACCGCTTAGGGTAGGAGGCCATCGCTAGTAGGTAGGAGGAGGCCATCGCTCTTACACTTTCTTCAACGAACGCTTTTGAAAGGATGAAAGTCCGTTTGCTGAAACCAACGCGCCTTGA